ATAGAAGCATTCACACCAAGGGCGTGGCAGGTGCCTTGCACGGTTGGTGTAAATGCTATAGAAATGTATTGAAGAATACTTGACTGGACCGTGACTGACATAAGCATAGCACCTGCCTGGGAGCCTGGTGAGAACCCTTCCTTACTGTCTAAAACAGTCGAGAATGAGCTAGACTTTTCAATCCTCATTTCCAGCTCGAATTTGCCCCCTATAGCTTGCCCGGCTTATTAATTAACCGCAAACCTAAAAGGCTACAACCTAAGGAAAAATTGCCTGTATTACGTTCAAATATGTTACTAGCAGGTTAGTTCGGCGTCGACAAACTCGAAAATCTATGAAAGTTTATAATCCCGTCATTCCTGATCACGTTAATAATATTGAAGCTTATGTAAACAAATTAAGAAAATATAACTCATGTACTCACTGTAGTGAGTGACAAAGAGCGCATTTCCTCGTCGACGAAAACGTGAAAGTCACTGACGGACAGACGGACATGACGAACACAATGGCGCCTTTTTTTCCATAAATGAGAAAATGCGCTAAAGAGACCTGTTCAAGTACGCATTTCTCATGAAAGATGGAACTCCCAATTGACTATTATTTGAAAATATGAAAAAAAACTATATTTCACCTTTTAAATTAGCTGCATTCATACCAATTTGAACATTTCATTTCAATTTTTGGTCAAACCCTCTCTTCGTAGTTCTGCAATGCCTTACTATTCTCCTACTGGAGATAAAATTTCAGGTCCATGTATAATATCCCGACGCGACAAGTTTCAAACAAACGCCCTCATCTTATATTTGCTGAGCTAGGTAGCAAAAATGCACTATTTAACAAATATTATTAAGTTATTGTTTTAAATTACATGTTATTCAAAATGTCACGTGTATTGCTTACGAATACGTTGGATTTCTGAGTTTTTCAGTGAAAGAGTAAAACATCGTAATCTTAAGTAAAAAGAAGCTCAACTCACATCGACGAAAATTATTTGCATGAGGATTGCATTCATTGTTTCTAGATGACGTGGATTCTTATCAAAGGCTATTCTTAAATCCCACAGGTATTTGAGTTGCAAATTTCTTGTTTGATCTGACGACCGCATGGAAGCAGGAGCTCAAAGGCTACCGGAGTGACGGAATGCAGAGCGGCGCGCGCGGCATGCAAGGTGCAGCGGTGAGCCGACAATGCAATTTAATTAGTGCATTTAAAATAGCCTCTGCCTTGCGTATCACCTGCTGCTGCCACTCCCTGCAACTCATCGAGTCTTTGTTAGTTTTTGTGTATACACAACTTTGCCCTTTGTCCGGCTGGGCCCAACACCGAAATCTATACGACGGTGCAAATTGGGCCTCTAAGTGATTATTTCTTCGAACTATAAGATCCATTAGGCCAAAATATTCGACTGGAGCAGCACCAAGGTTTTACTTTATAACTTAAGAAAGCAGACCAGCTTGAAGACAAACTTTTTTATGCACAATTGACTAGTTTCAATAAGTGGTTGGCTCGCTTTTTTCCCCAGCTTTTGCATCAATTTAGACTTGGATATTTTGAAACACCAGTCCAGCCTGATCGATGAGTTCATTTTCGTACATCGTTTTCATTTTTGACCTTGGACACGTTCCCAAATATCTGCCGATATTGTTGTCAGCCAGCGCACATAATTTGAGTTTTTTCATCAAATCTATCGTTTATTTTATATAATTATTACTTTCTAGCGTTAAGTGTTGAAAAATATAATGTTTAGGTCTCCGACAAGGAGTGTTGTTCGGTGTGAGAGATAGTTTCAACTAATGGCTCCAATTCGGCGTTGGTGCATCGCCTTCAAAACGAACTTTTTGGTCGATTTCGGCGAGAACATTTTTGAATCAACATAAGATTTGAAGGCCTTCCCGTCATCGTTATCATATCGTTTTAGCGTAGCTTCGTGTCACTTCATACTCGTATGAAGTTGATCGCGGTCGGAGAATTTGAGTGGCCGCGTTTCTCTACTATACAAGGCTTGCACCTCTCCAATGATGCATGAGCCAAAATGCAGCTATGGTTACTGGATTCTGCTGCTTGTGCTCATACTTGCTTTTAGTCAGCATTGTTAATGTTATTGCTGTCTCTTGTTGAAATGAATTGAGATCCGATGTTTTGAGTATAGCTCGACGCCTGTTGCGGCATCACTGAAGCTATCCTTACGCTAAAAGCTCATTTAAAAGATGGATCTCTTTGAGCTGATTTTTTAAAAGCATGCTTTTCCCCAACTAGTTCTCTCTATTTTGAGCTAGTTATCTTAATGAAACTGGTTCGATTCTTATGCTGTGAAATTCTTTTGAAAACGGCAGACATTAATGTGCAATTCATCAATAAGTGGCGGAAGGTCCCTGATGAGACGATCATCGCATGCAATCGATTTCATTCTCGGCGTAGCGAATCAATCGATGAGTTGAGACAATGTTCGGCACCTTGAGAATCTAAAATCTTGTGTGAGCTCAGGGCCTATATTTTCAAAAAAAGTTAAGAGATCGTACGTTCAACCAATCATTGACGGCCTTTTAAGCAAAATCCGCCAATCATGGACAAGAAAATAGAGCGTAATTACTTACGTTCTTTAGCGATTTTTGAAAGTATGGCCTCTGAGCAGTTGCTGATCATGCTGAAGAAGTCATTTGGAAGGCGATATTGCTCTTGTATCGATATGCCGCCTTGTGTGAATGTACTGAGCGAGGTTCAAGCAAGAGGTTAGAACGTGGCTGGCTATCTATCTTATTGCCTAATTTATTCAATTCCGAGCGGTGAAATCACATTGCTGGGCCTGATAAGAAACCGAGGGAAAAATATGTCGACTGAACACTTTTTTTTTGTTGTTGAACTTACTTTAGTTCACGATGCTGAAGTATTAGCTGGCTACATTGAAGATGCATAATATTTTCTTCAGGTGTGTTGGCAATGTTACTCTACGTTGAGAATTGTGTACCTGTGTTTTGCATGTATTCATTACTTTTAAAAACCTGAGAATAGATAATTTTTCTTAACTTTGTTTAGGGTTTGTGCACGTTTTTGGCCTATGACTTTTTAGTGCATTTTCTCAGTTATAGAAAAAAGGCGCTCCTGTGCTCGTCATGTCCGTCTGTCTGTCCGTCCGTCTGTCCGTGACTTCACGTTTTCGTCGACAAGAAAGTGCGGTCACTGTCACTCACTGCAGTGAGTACTGAGTTATATTTTTTTAGCAGTCAACGTCAGGAACGAGCTGTGGTTACTAATCGAATGCAGCGTTAATGGAAATATTGCTAATGGCTATTGCCTAAATGGCATGACCACCGAATGAATCATTGTGTGGCTGCAATGAGGAACAAAATTACTTAATCTGACGATGAATTGCTTGACCGATTATCGTTTAGAACCATGCACAAGGAATAGTGCGGCATATCTGCTCTAAACAGCTGATATGTACGAGTGCAGTTAAGTTAGGCATTACTGGATACGAAGCATTCACCCTATAGTGGCGACTCGCAGCACATTCTCTGCTGAATCAGGCTCCTCTATTCGGGCCGCGCGCTGAGCACATTAGGCCCGCAGGGACGGTCTGCACCACCTCTAAATTCTGCTACCTGCGACCAAACCCCAGGTCATGGGTCTCAATTTAAGTTGCCTTCCCCCTTTTACTTTCCTCGCTCAGTTGATGTTCCTTCCTTTAATGCGGCCCAGTTGGGAGACATTTGTTGCAGTCCAATTATTTTAAGGGTCTCAAATGTTCATTTCCATCGGATGCTCTTTGAAAGCTGTTTTTGTTAAGAGTTCTCGAGGGGATCGTTACTTGAACGTTTTAGAATGAACATTGGCATCTAGGGAACCTACATGCGAGTTCTTGCGTTGGACAAATGTTGCAATGGTGACAGGAACAACAAAAATTAAAAAAGCACTTGATGTTTGCAATCACCTGTATTTCCACTGCATTATTGAGGTAGTTTTATATAGACTAGCGGAATGAACTAAGTAAATTTAGCTTTTATTTGATTCGTTGAAGCGTTGCCAGGCTTTTTTCATGGCATAGTCTGAGGCAGGGTGGAAGTTTAGAAATGGTTCTAGATTGATCCAACCAGGTAACTTGATCATTACCAAAATACCAGTTAAATATCGAAGGAAAATGTAGTTGTATATTTTTCGATCCAATATTATTTAGAAACTTGTTCAATATATTACCACCCCTCCTGAATTCCACCCTGCCTGCCTGGGCTCTGATGGTCGAAGCAGACTCGTTATGGATTTCCGATGTTAGGAGTTGAGCGCTGAAGCCGTCGCAGTGATGGAGACGACCGTTGTCTGCAGGCTTCTTGCATCAAGCTTGAGGTGCCATGTGAACTTCCCGGGGGTATAGATTGCACCAATATGCTCACCGTTTATTTAATTCTAGGATTCTTGTTTCCGCTTTCGGGACTTGGAAGTCAATTAACCCGAGGGCATGATATTTGGCTGTTAATTAAATATTTCCTATTTTAAATGTAGCGCAATGATTTGCGTGCTTTCGTTTAACCATCTACTGGTTAAGGAACAGGGTTCTCGTATAGACTTGGCCTTTTTAGCTCATAATATTCGGCCATAATATTCTAAGCGTCTGTTTGTTAGCCCTGCTGTCGACATGGCATTCACGATTAGTGTTATCATCTCTGATTAAGTTATATTTTTTATCTTCTTGAGTCTTTTATGGATTTACTGGCCACACGTTATATTTTATTTAAAATTATTGGTGAAATACTTCTAATTCCGTGAAACATATTTTTATGTGCACCCCAGGTTAAAAATATCCACATCAATATTCAATAATGTGTTTAAAAATTCATATTAAATCTTTCATCACAGCACTTCATCCGGCACTGATTGTATGCATTTGATGTGTTTATTCGGTTCACTAGATATTCTGTGCTTGTTTAATATGGAATCTCATAGTATTCATCAACAAATTTTGTGAATGAAGTTACTGAAGTTTAGGCGTGTACATCCGACAGCACATCATGACTCCTCACATCGACATGGACCGGCCTAAAACGAGTAGTATTTTAGTGCCTGTCCGGTCTCCTTCCCACAAGTCAGTCCGATTTTCGAGCGTGACCGGTTCCCGAGTGGGGGACAGTGCCGACCGAGCTGGGTCCCTACCCAAGGCAGGGTTTCGAGAAACATATGCCGTCCCCGACAGCCTTAAAAAGAGAGCACCGAAGGCGTGGCGCAACAGCAGCGGTGAGTTCCTTTTGGAAGACGTCAGCGGTTCGTCACATGAAAATACCTACGCTAAAATTTACTCCCGTGGTGACGTCAGTGATCATAGGTCACGGCCAACTGTTGGCAGGAAAGAGTCCGTACGTACTGTCATCGTCAATAATTTGCAAGATATGGGCGAAATTGAACGTATTCTAAATGACAGCAGTTGCGACGGCTATATCACGTCCGAGTGTGAGCGGAACTTACGCGAGAAGTACGGCCTTCACTTCGAGCATTCTTTTGTGAACATTGACAAGCGTGCGAAGAGCTGTTCTCTGCCTGCCAATGTCTCTCCCGCGGACGTATCTATGAGTTACATGAACGACACCTCGATGTACGGCTCGAACATGTCATGCGGAGGAGGTGCTCTCATGCGCCAGAAATTACGTGGCATCGTACGGCGTTACTCAGATCTCATCCATGCTACCGCATTGGTGCGCAGGGTCGTCTCCAAGGCCAGGAAACCAAGCTTGAGTAGGCGCAACGGAGCTCTGAAAGCTTCCAAAATTCGAGTGCCGTCCATGGGAGTGGAGACCGTCATAAAACCTTTGCTGACGGTCATTCCTGAGGCTAGTGAAAGCTCAACGGTTGGGGAGGCTCTCCAGGAGCGGCTCCTCAGCGCCGGAGATGGAGGCAAGACCTGCGAGGAGATCGCTTTGGATCTCGGCAACGGCGATTTCGAGCAAAGGCGACAAAGTAGGGCCACGAACGGCAGCGTTGTATTGAGGGAGAAAAAGACATTGGAAAGCGTTAAGGAGAAGAGAAGTTCGGCTCGGGAGAGCGGATGGTCTTACATCGAAGTTAAAAACAGCAAGAAGCTGCGGTGCAGTAAACTCTTGTCGAGTGAAGAGAAGCGTTGCGTCAACAACAGCTACCGGAACAGTTGTGTCGCTGATAGATCCTCGCTGACAGAAGAGGGCGCTTCAACTTCATGGCTCCTCGTCCTCTACTCCCCGGAGTTTGCACCCAAATCCGCCAAAGTTAAAAGGTATTTGTTTCATCGCATATTATGTTTAGATTTTAATCGTATATTCACTATTTTCATTTAGGAATTTGTGTTGAGGAGGACCTTTATAACTGTCGCTGAATATAGAGGGAAATGACGCTCTTCCGCCACGACGTTCGTTCCGGTGCGTTTTAAACTTTTCATGACCAGGTGATCGTAAATTGGAACTTGAAACCTATGCATGTAGTATAGCCACCACGTCGCGCTATTTGTGGTTATGGCTATACAGTGTCGTGCGTCTATCACCAATCATCTGCCACTATCATCTTGCATAACTTCATAACTTACTTTACTTGACAATTTCGATAAAATCATTCAATACAAGAAGTAGCCATCGCACCAAATTTCCTTCTTTTTCCGCCTTGTTTTCAAATTCAGGCTCTAACTGTATTTAATATCTTGATATTATCCCATGATAGTTTAGTTCAATGATTTTCAGTTATATTTACGCGTTAAATTTTGCTTGATATCGAATATTTTCATCATAGTGACCGAACCCAATGAATTCGTATGTCGAATTAAACATGTATGTTAAACAGCTATTGTATCTTAACAACCATTTCAGGAAATAAGCGTTACAAAACAAATAGCCTTATTTGCCTGTATTTTTGCATAAAACAGTATTTCTTTATTTATTCTCTGCTTTTTAAATACGTTGTGCTGTTTTTTCGGGGTCACTGGACGTGTGACGCCCGAATAGCTTTGTTTTCCTGCGTCTGTGACGTAGTTTTTTTTTCGCTTTCATTCTGTACTTTCCGCTCCGCCATGTTTTCAGTTTCAAATTTTCTTTTGTTTCGCCGTCTAATGGCTGTGCTGTGGTCGCCACTATCCGTACATTTCCCTTATTCAAGGTCTTGCTTCCACAATTTATGCTTGCACTGTTCAGGCTTAGAAATAATTTAGGCTTGTACCACATCCAGGCTCGACAGTCTATAAGCCTTAATATGAAAGAAGCCTATATAAGCCTGTCTATATACAGCGACCTTTCGCATTTGCTATTTGTATGCTACTAATTACGTGGGCTGTGCAATGTCTTGTCAAGTGCAAAATTTGTAAGTGAATGCTGCTATTTGTACTTACAATTTACAACCGAAAAGTATGATACTTATTTAAATCATGAGCATGTCATTCGGAACTTCCGCGAACATATCTCTCACCTTGCGAATCTTAGTATATCTAATAAATTTATTATTTTTATGTATGCATCAAAGGAAAAAAGTGTGCCACTCGTGTAATAATACGTTTGATTTAATTTTATTTCTAATGAGAATTGCGTTGTATGAATGTTTATTCTGCTAGCAGGTTGCAGTGCAAGTTTTCTTGCCGTGTATGAGCCAACTTAGGATTATATTTTAAAGTTTTATTTTCTTCCCTGTGCAGGTATGATACTTGTTTGTCGCATCGCTGCTTTCTCATGATAAAGGTAGGGAAATTCACTCGTTTATAACTATAGTTATTATTAATTTTGTATTAATTATTATTATTTTTCTATTATTTGTATTTATCGACGTTTGGTTCATAATTCGAGTCTCGATATTCATGCCTGAACAAAGCTGAAGCGAGCAAGGCGGCTCATTATTCTTGCTTCATGTCATGGAATATGATATTATGCAACAACTAACGTACGTGAAGCTCTTACGTGGCCATCACCTCGCAGGTGAGTGACTTCTGCTTGTCATCACAGGTGTGTGTTTAATATTGTCTTAGGTGTTCGTTGTTGTCACGTCTGGTGTGTTGTTCGTTGTTGTCACGTCTAGTGTGTTGTTCGTTGTTGTCACGTCTGGTGTGTTGTTCGTTGTTGTCACGTCTGGTGTGTTGTTCGCTGTTGTCACGTCTGGTGTGTTGTTCGCTGTTGTCACGTCTGGTGTGCGGCTGGATCGTGAAGCGATGTACCGCGTCTATTTCGATGCGTTTACGGCCGGAAGCCAACGGTTGTATTTCATTTTGATTGTGCAGAAATAAAGTTGTTCGCGTTTGATTGTATTCTAGAGATTTTTTTATGAAACCAGCAACGCAACAAGAGAAGCATTAGTGATATGTTTATCTTGATATACTATTTCATGCCTCCTGGTCTTCATCTGTTTTTTTTTTGTTAAATTTTCAGTATTAGCAGTAAGTATAGTAAACCTTTATATTAGCACATTTATATTAACAGTGAGAAATAGCACCTTTATATTGCCAGTGAGAAATTCTTAGCATTTTTTAGTTATTTACATTTACATTTTAACTAATTTCTGACTGTTAATTAATTTGACGAAAATGGGATCGTAATTTGTCTCCATCTTACAGGCTCTTCGTATTATGCGATTATTATTATCTCAAATTGTAATCTATATACAGGCTCTTCGTATTATGCGTACCAAATAATTAGTTTAGATTTATACGCAAAATGCACAACAATCTTGGGCTCGTCTTCCATCACTATGAAGCAGTGCAGGGGCCGTATTATCAAAACTTCGTAAGTACGCAAAATCGACTTACGAGTGGCGTTGCTATGACAACGTAATACTAACGGTGGTATTATAAAAACATTTGCGCGGGAAAAATTTGCGCGAAAAAAAAAATTAGGCTTTTAGCAAAGACTTGCGTACGAAAGTTTTGATAATGCCAAAATTAGGGTGTATTTACGTGCCACAGAACTTTTTTGTCGTAAGTACAAAAAGTTACGAAGTTTTGATAATCCGGCCCCAGGGTCGAGGAGCAGCAGCAGCAGCAGCAGCAGCAGCAGCAGCAGCAACAGCAGCAGCAGCAGCACCAGCAGCAGCAGCAGCTCAGAGGTCTCAGACGTCGTCGAGGTTCACTGAGCTCGGCCGTAATTACCGTGCGCCGCGCTGGTGTTGTCGCCTCGCATGTTGCGCACCTCAGCCAATATGTGCTCAGTGCGACTGCCTGCTGCCCGGTCAATCACCGCGGTCTCCGGCTCTTACATTCCCGTACAATTTCAGATTTTACCACGTTACGGCCCTCCAAATTTGTAAATTAATTATCTGTGCTCTTACATTCACATACAATTTCAGATTTTACCACGTTACGGCCCTCCAAATTTGTAAATTAATTATCTGTGCTCTTATATTCACATGAAATTTCAGATTTTACCACGTTACGGCCCTCCAAAATTGTCTAAACTAATTATCTGTTCTGGATTTTATCTCATCGATATTCTTGCACTATTGTCGGTCTTTTATATCTTGAATATCTCAAAACACAAGAGCTCCATCAATCAGTGTTCAGCGAAAAGATTAAAATGGGATAAACTTCGTGAGACCCTTTCATTGTGCGCAGTTCATTGAAAAAAATCTTCGACGTTACATTGTGTACAGTAATCCTCATACAGTCACAACAATAGTGATATTCATGATGTGATCATGAATATTAGAATAAGTGAAGTGATATTCAAAAGCACATCTCAATTATTCCTCGTTGATTGAAATCATGTCTTCTAATTTGACTCTTATGAATCTTTCATTAACCGTCTTTGATTAATTAACCGTGATTATGCTCGAGGTGTGTATAAGCTTTACGTCGGTGAGACGTGTAGGCCGTGGTTGTGATGAGCGCGTTTACTCACCATCACTCATGCGTCGCTGCGGTCGCTAAAAAAATAGAAAAAATCATGATTTTTTATAAAAAAATCATGTGATTTAATTACATTACCATCTCACTGACAAGGTCGTCCTAACTGTAGCCTTATTATTCTAGCTTATTCTTGTATATTTAACTTAACTTGTGACTAGAACTGACTCGAACTGGGAGAGTTTCCGTGCTCGTAAAAATTGTGCGCCTTCGGTTTTCGATTCGTTACACTTCTTCACTCTTTTATACTTGTGTATCTCGTCTGTATTTTAACGTGTCCGTGATAAGCCGGATGTGATTTTCTTGTAGTTGATATAAGTGTACGGTTAATGTTTGGTGCGTGTTGACGTTACTATATTTAGTATTAAGTAACATTTTGGTAGTTAATTTATTATTATAACTAGCTTCATGACTCAGAGTTCATTGTTACCTCAGCGACGCATATATTGCTCACTTCCGTAACGCTGTGACGTTGGATCCTTCAAGCATTTGCCAGCCACAACAATTCCGTGACATTACATATGCTATAATAACGCAGCTCCCCCTTCCTTCTCTATGACATTCACGGTCTCTCACTCATCATTTTTACGATGTAACACGACAAGAAATATGCACTGCAAGGTCCCTAGCTTCTGTTTTGATCCCCGTGCATGTTTCATATAAGGAACTGAGTGTTTGGTAGCGCTTCTAGTTATGCGCGAGAACTTGTGAGTGCGTCAATTGCAATGCCTGCTTCCAGGTCTTTCCAGCCCAAGTGATATGTGAATTGGAGCATGCGTAAGCAGCTGTTTGTTGTCCAGGGGCCATACTTTCAAAAATCGCTAAGTGAACGCAAGTATTTACGCTCTATTTTCTTGTCCATGATTGGTGGAATTTGCTTAAAAGGCCGTCAACGATTGGTTCAGGAACATACGATCTCTTAACTTTTTTTGAAAGTATAGGCCCTGGATATTATATAAAGTGTCTGGTGTTAAATACTTACAATATGACTTGTTCGATTATCTTCAGTTTCGAACCCATAGTTCCCTGGAATCGTTGCGTGGAGTAACGACATTGTGTTGTGCTCGCTGTGCTGTTGAAATAACCTGCGATTTTTTTGCGGATATCAGAAAATTACCGTCTTTAGCCTCGATATATTTACACTCGGAGTTGCCTAAATAATTCCGTGTATTTGTTTGAGATGCAGTACTGATGATCATAATTCTCGACCTGCCTGACTTCAAATTGATGCAAATGACTTAGGAATGCCTTCCGTATTTTCTGTACTAAAATAATTCATCCATAGCTAAATATCTATCGTGAAAAACGTGAGAATTGTGAAACTCAATCGTTTTATTCTCTTAGGGAATATTAAACAATTTTCTTAAATTTGTCGACCTAATTTCTGGTTGTGATGGTGTGTGTCCTGC